AGAGTGTTTTCACTTTAGAAACTGCTCATTATGGTCTGCTGATACTTTAAAAACAAAATTGTAAGCCTTCTAATATGTAGAACAAATCTCGGTGTTTTGGAATAGCTTTTCTGTCATCTATTCATTAAAAGATTACCGTGGGCAATATTTTACAGCGTTAGAGAAGAAAGCAACATACTGTTGAGGAGTCTCTTTTCTGTGATCCAAATGCAGTTAGGTGAAAACAAAGTAAACAATGCCCAGATGTGGACACAATAGCACTAATTTTGTGACTTTTTGTTGTTCTTGGCAAGCAGTTCTAGAATTGAAAGCAAAAGGTGAATGTGCCATTCAAGACTACGTCCAGTGTTTAGTTTCGTTGCATAAGAAGAATTTAGAGACAGTTTATGTAAGAAGGGAACAGCAAAGAAGTTTTATGGTGTATACATACAGCCATAGATCTTATGCAAAGGTGAAGATGCATGCTGAGTCTAATGACTGTATACCTATTTCATGTATTATAAAAAGGTGAGTCAAAGCTGAGAGTGGTTGTGATGCTTTTAGTGCCTGCCTTTCTGTGATACTTGTTTGTGGTGAAATGTCTGGACTTGAACAGATATATACAATAACTAGGAAGAACTTTTTTTTTTTTTTTTTTTTCAGCATTGGGAGTTTCTTTGGTTGGTTTGCTTAGCTTCTCTAGCCTATAGTTTTTTTCAGTCTTAGTTTTAGATCTCCTTGCAGGTTGTTGTGGTTTACTTTTGCAGTTGCTGTCTGAGCCTTTTTTCCTGTTCAGATGTTCATTTGTCTTAGTCTCTCAGTGCAAAACCCAAATACAAGATGGGCTCTACCAGTAGACAGCAACTTTGCCTGAAGAAGAATATGAAGGATACATATTCTCAAATGGCAGCTACTTAACTTGATCCATTTCATGGACTACTGCTGTAAACCCTGGACTCCACTAAGGGTAGTTTTCAGGAGTTGCCTCACTTTTGTATCTTCCTGCCCACCACAAAGTGGGAACTCTGTTCTTGAGGAGTAAAGTCTACTTGCTGACTTAGTTCTGCAAGTTTGCCTTTGTAGCCTTATGTGCTTAGGAAGTAATAAAGATTCAAGGAAATGTCTTGATCATTTTGCATATCTCTGCTGCATAGTGCCCATTTCCCACTCTGGTCATGGTATGAGTTCTGGTTTGTAGCAGCTTTAGGGCAAACCAGCACTGAGCATCCAGAACTGACAGAATAACTCTAAAGAAAAGAGCAGGAGGAGTTGAGGTGTCATATTAGTCTTCAAATAGTTTATTTGGCATTCTTTATCTCAGAGGTTTTCTTTTATCTAGAGGTAAACTCTTACCACATACTCTTTTCTGCAGTCATTGTTCTCCATTAGATCTGACTGATGGCTTGCAGTCTTACTTGGAGATGTGGAGTCTTAATAGAGCTAAAATGGGGACAATGCAACTGTAAAGGTAGCAGAAGGTAAACAAATATAGGGACTTCCCATTCCAGGCCCTGGTCAGAGAATCTAAGATAAATCCTGTGCTCATATATAGGGAATTTTACTGTGCTGGTGAGGGTAGGGGTAGGAAGAGTAATGATCCTATTTCTTGAGTGTTTTCATTTTAGTATATCACAAGGTTATGTAGAGTGGCTTTGCAACATCTCCATAGCTACGACAGCAAAAAAACAAATGTAGAAGGAAGATTTCCTCTTTTTCCTCTGCATTTTTGGGGAAAGTGATCCTTATTGAAAGGAAGTCCTGGGGATAACAGGAGTACCCAGGTCACTGTCAGTTCAAGTATTTCTCAGTATTTTAAAATGCCTTTCTCTAGTTACTGATAGTTAAAAATACACTGCTTGTAACTTTCTAACAGGAATGTTTTGAAAATTAAATAAATAAATGGATTTTTTATTTATTGTGCCTGTCCTTTATTTTGAAAAGGACTTCCACACATTCAGATCACTGACCCTATTAATTTTTTTGGTAAGCAGGAAATATATTGAGATACAGCGATAACACTTTTCTTCTGTAGAAGTAGGATCTGAAGCACATGATGTTGACTTTATGGCCTTGCATTTAATTTTAAAAGATTTAGTATTAACAAAATGTTGAAGTCGTTTACCTGCCTTTGGCTGAAAAAGTACTTTTATGTCTTTACAGGAACTGTATTCTGTCACAAATTAAATTTTTTTAAAAAAAAAAAAGTTAAATTTTATCTTTTAACTCACTGTATGCCATAGCTAAATAAGCTCTACTGAGTAGCCATGAAAATAAAGAGCATTTTTTTGGTTGTTCTAAATGTTTACTTTGAAAATAAGAATAGATCTGTTTAGTTCCTTAGCACATGTGGAAGCTGTCTGACCACTAAAGGTGCTATGAGTGTGACCATTAACTGAACACCTTTCTGACTCTAAAGTGCTCCTTGTTATGTTTGTACTTTGTCTTACTAAAAATCAAGGGTTTTCTTCTCTTCAGGAGAATAAAATATTGTAACCGCTCTCTCTGTCCTTATCAAATTCATTAAAAACCAGCAGCTCTCCCAGTTTGCTGAATACCTAGTAGAGGTGAAGAGGCGAGAAAGAACTGGGCTTTTGTTTCTTCTTTATGATGGATAAGTGTCTGAAACGATGGTGTAGACTTGGATGGTGTTACTTGGATGATGCTGGTTTTACTTCTTGTTGTTTGACTACAATGGCATGTGGAAGATGATGCCTTTGTGAGAGAAATCACCTGTGACAGCTTCTTGGTGGCCCTATAGTGCATAAGAGGAAGGGATGGTTTTTTAGGTTAAAACTGCTCCTAAAAGTGCATTTCTGCCACTGTGCCACTTGCTGCTCTTGATTTGCACCTGTAGATGTAATGATGGTAACTAATTGTTCTTGCTGCCCGGTGCCTGCCCTGGGGTGCTGGGAGGAGAAGGCTTCTGCCACCTCTCAGGCAGCATCTCCTGTGGCAAGGCAGAGACACAAACTCAAGAAATAAAAAAAGCTGTAAGACCACGTGTAAATACTTTGGGCTAAGAATGAAAGAATTGGTGAAAAATGAAAAAGAAAAAAAAAAAAGAGACATGGCATCTGGAAGCAGAAATGAAAGTGTTTGGATCTCTCTTGTTTAATAAGAGATTGCTAAAAACAGTACAATTTCTGAGAAGATATACTTGGAGATTTTTCTTCCTTTGTGTGGGGCAGGAAAGGTAAGTCTAACTAACCAGGAGGAACATGTTAGGTGTTAGCGATGGGTGAGGTACTGAGCTTTCTATGTGGGAGCTCAGCTGACCTTGATAGACTGCCTGACCCTGCGTGTGTGTGTATTCTTTATAAATACATGGAACTTCATCTACCTAGCAGCTGCGTACAAGTTTTGACATGAGTATTTTATCAGTTCTAGCTCTCTAAGGTCTAGGTTTGAGACTAGAAATACAGCCACAATTTTTCTGATGTGAACTGTGCATTTATTGCTGTGTGTGATGAAGTACTCTCTAGTGATAGGAGACTGCCAGCAATGAAATTGTATTTGTCTGCTTACTTGAAAATAGTGTCCACTCTCACTTGCAAGTAAATCTTTCACTGGCTTGCAATCTTCAGAGATTAAATTCTGAGTTCGGTTCTAATAAATACCTTCTAGTGGTTGTTTGAAATCACTTTAAGATGTAGATGTCTAAAGAAGGGGAAAAGCAGTGCTGCTTCACTTTGGGTTTGTACTTCTTTTGGTATTAATGTCATAGGGCAAATTTTTGATTTGTTGTGGTTTTTAAAAAAATAGTTATGTTGATGGCCTGTATTGGCTAATAGTTTCTGTTTTGGTGGTTATATGAAAGCTAAAAATCATGCAAAATGTTTGGAGGTCTGTGAGTACTCCTGATTAGCTCCGAGAGGCTGTGAATAGTTAATTATTCAGCACAAAGTTCTGAAGTTCAAAACTCTAAGCAGTTTCAGCAACAGATGGGTCATGTGAAATCTCATTGCACAGTCCTCTTTTGCAGTGCTGCTCTGGACCTTGTTTGCTCTTCATTGTGAGTGACTTTGAACTTTCTTTCCTCAGAAAGATGGGTGTTTCTAACTGTTGTATGCTAGGCTAGAGCTTTTGTTTTGGTTCTGTGGAACGTTTATAGAACTTAATTTGTTTGGTTTCATATTTGTTTGGTTTCATTTAAAGTAAACAAACTTTGGTACAGCTCCAGAATCTAAACTATAAGCATGTTTTGGGAACCTTTGTGCATTATGTTTGAAAACTATTTTAACTTTCTGTGAATGTGGCTCCTTTCAAGCTCTTTAAAAAAATGTTTATAAGAAATTGAAGCTCTGAATTGAATTATGAGCTGCTTCTGAATTGAAGAAATGAGTGCGTCTCTACAGTGTGTTTTGTTGTCGTTTGTGTTTGGTTCTTTTTTTTTTTTTTTCCTAATGGCAAAATCCATTAAAAGTACACAGAGAGGGATGTAGAGAGTTTTCCTTTTATACCATTTGGGATTTTTTTATTTTAATAAAATAAGTGAGCCTTATTTAGTCTTCACTCTTTGACTTGTCACTAAGAGGGGAAAGGATAGTGAGAAAATTAAAATAGGGAATCGGCATAGATGAGGGGAAAATCTGAAAGCCTTTTGCGACCAATATGTCAGGAACTACTGCAACACAGTACTACTGGTTATACTGCTATTTTATTACTGTATAGAAGTAAACTAGAGCTGGTAGTATTTGAAATATTTTAATAATCAAAAGAAAAATTTGGTGAGTAAAAGTGTGATTATTCCCTTACCTATCTATCCTAGATACTACATGTATTGTCAGTGCAATTTGGCCTCATACTGCATAGTACAGCATTTCTGTTTATACTAATCCAGTAAATCTGTTTGGAAAATGCACAAATAGGGTCTTTTCATAACCTGAGGGAGAAAAAAGTAATTAATTTACTTTTTTCATGTACCTTAAACATCTTTTGTTTTGAGCTTGATGTTTTTGGCAAGTTTTTTTAATATATATGATAGATACCCAAGCCTATTTGTATCCTTTGTCGCCACCGATCTTATGTTTAAAATATTCTTTTGTCCCTTCCTTGCACATATCACTTACACAGTTGAGTGAAAACATTTAGTTGTGGTTCATTCCTGTTCTGAGACTTGTTAGTTTGCCAGTATGGAATCGTGTGTGTATAAATAGTTACTTGACTTTTCATTTTTATCCATTTATTTCAGAAGAAAATCTAAAGCACCACCTCCTCCATCTGAAACAAAAACTATTGCTGCTGCTTCATTCGATGACACAGAATCAGCCAACTTCATCATGGAACAGAAAGAGAATGTAATTGATAAAGATATTGAACTATCAGTGGTCCTGCCGGGAGATGTGATCAAGTATACTACAGTTAGTGGGAGGTAAGTTATGCAGTGTGACACTTTAATTTTCTTTTCTTGCTTTAGTTTACTTCAACCTTCACCCAGGTTTTAATCACTCAGTAAAATTGTTATCTAAGCCTGAACATTGAGTGTGGCCAAAGAAGGGCAGTGAAGCTGGTGAAGGGTCTAGAGCACAAGTCCTGTGAGGAGAGACTGAGGGAACTGGGGTTGTTTATTCTGCAGAAAAGGAGGCTCAGGGGAGACCTTACTGCCCTATACAAGTGTCTGAAAAGAGGTTGTAGTGAGGTGGGTGCTGGTCTCTTCTCCCAAGTAACAAGTGATAGGACAAGAGGAAATGGCCTCAAATTACACTGGGGAGGTTTAGGTTGGACATTAGGAAAAATTTCACCACTAAAAGGGTTGTTACCTCTCATTAAGAGGTGAAGTAGGTGTAACTACACATTTACATTACTTGGTTTAAATCAGTTGTCATAAATCATTATATAATTAATATAACATTTTAAGTTACTGGAACAGAGGCTGGCCAACAGTCAACTGGAACAGGCTGCCCAGGCAAGTAGTGGCGTCACCATCCTTGGAGGTATTTACAAGACATGTAGACACAGTGCTGAGGAACATGGTTTAGTGGTGAACTTGGCAGTATTAGGTTAATGGTTGGACTCAATAATTTTAAAGGACTTTTTCAACCTAAATGATTCTACCATGATTTTGGGGGAGATGTGGAAACATATACTTTATACATTTACCTACCTTTCGGAGACTGTTTTTTGAAATTCAGAAATTCTTTATGGCACCTATCAGGATGTGTAGCCATATTTGTTGTTCTTTCTAGTTGCTGCAGATCTCTAGAAAAATACCATTTTCTATGAGTCACTGAATTTTCCCATATAATTTTTCCTTGTTAGCCTTAAGGATGAGTTCCTGAATCCTTTTGGGTACAAAGTCATTTCAGTGTTTGCTCAGCACTGCTACCTGTAGACTACTAGCAGTCCTAATAAAAAGTGTCATCACTTCACACAAAATCTGTAATTCTTCAAAGAAATATTTTCTACCTACAGCTTTGGATTATATTTTTAACACATATTGTGCTTAAGTTCGTTTTAATTTGAAATACATATTTCAGTCTGCTGCTAACTGGTAGTATACACTGTGCATATAACTCTCAAGTCACTTGTAGTTCAGATAGAGATGGACATTGACTGGTGAATTGAAATCATAAATGCTGGGATTTTAAAATGTTATATGAATTATCATAGCAGATCTACTAAGGAGGCTCCTATGCAAGGCCTTGTATGGATCAGAGCAATTAGGTTGCCAGTTTGTCGCTTTCATAAGCTGAGGAAACTAATTGTGTATAGTGCTTGTGTCAGTGTGGTGTCAGTGTCTTTGCTGCTGAAAGCAAGCAGGCTGATAACTGATTTAAACTAGGTAATGTAAATGTATAGTTACACCTACTTCACCTCTTAATGAGAAGTAAAGTCAAGCTTGAGCCTGTTTGCACACTTTATCATTTCATGAGGTTGTTGCTTGGACATCACATATCAGCTTGTTCACCAGAGCTGCAGTAGATTGAACTTTTGTGGAGTTTTCCTTTTAAAAAATTTTTTTACTTCCCCAAACTCCATGTGATTCTTCAAGATAACTTCAATCTGAGGCTGTATTTCTTGGAAGAAATTTTCAGAAATACTTCTTGACTACTTGATATGGGCTTGCAGCAAGGAGTATTACTATCTGTAAACATGGTGCTTTCTTCTTTTTTTAAAATTTATTATTATTTCTTATTATGTCTAATGACACTGTCAGTCGCTTTCTTCTTTTAACTCCCTTTTCCCACACTTAGGAGTACTTTGTGCCTTCTGTCTTGCTTTGCTCAGAGTAAAGTGCTAGAAAGTAGTGTTGCATCTATCTTCACTTGGTCAAATTACATTGTGTATAATTGTTCATTATTCAAGACAGGACCTACAAGCTTATCAGGAAGCACACACGTTTTCCAGTCAGTTTTATTATCCCACAGTTACTGTGGTTTGGGTTTGGTGGTGTTTGGTTTTTTGCTTTTTGTTTTTTTTTTTTTCCAATCAAGATACTGTATGTGGATGATTTCATAAATGACTCATCTGTAAATAAGAATGTGTATTAGCACTGCTGGGCTCACTCAGAATGAGGGGAGAAACTGTGCAGGACCTGGAGTCTACTGTGAAACATACTTCAAACTATCTTTTCTTGTAGTTTTGCTTTCTTTTGATAGTCATGTTTTAAGGACAAATAGGCAAGATCCCTCTAGAAATGACATAAAAAGATAAATTGCTAATTTGTCTCTTTCCAGTTCGTAATCAGAGATGAGAGCTTCAGAGCTCTCAAGGAGAGAATACATTTTTAAATCTCATACTAGAAAAAGAAAAACTGTGAATTTGCACAAATGCCATAGTCCACTAGAAGAAACTTCTCTACTGTTCTCAGGTGAAGTTGGGTGTTTTTCTCCCTGCTTTGGCATAGTGTACAGGAAGAGCTATGCAGAACAAAAGAAGATGTTATATAGATAAATATCCTGAGTGAGTAGAAGCAGGCAAAAAAGGATCAGAATGAAATCCAAAAGAATTTTGGAGAAAAAAGATTACAAGAGAGAATAATTCTTGATCCCTGAGTTGATATATGGGCAACTAAAGCAAAATACTGAGAGGCTGAGAAAAGGAGGGAGGACTGAAATAGCTCATTCCTCATTCCTAAACTTCAGGAATGGGAAGATTCTCTTATTTAAGCATAGACACCAATTTATAGTTTGTAGTAGTGCACGATAGTGATTCAGTTCATCTATTCAGCATCTGACAGTGGCATTCACAATCTCAGTCACCAGGATTCCTGCAGCGAGGTCCAGGCTAACAGTTACTTAAAAACAGCCCCCCAAAAAACCATAAGAGCAATGAGTGGTAGGAAGTGAGGGTGTGCTATTCGGAGGAAGGAATGACTGAAGTATTATAGTTTTTTTTTTAAATGGGAATGTTTTTCAAAGTTTCTGAGTCTTCTCCAGTTGGTTCTATATACAGCATAGGAATGAAGAAAATCCTGCAGTCAATGAAGAAAAAAAATAACTTGAAGAACAATTTCATTTAGCAGCCTGATCATTTTAAGTTAGTTTTCTTTTTTTTCTTCCACAAGGAAGAAATAGAGAGTTTGAGAAAATTTTCTCAAAACTGTGTAATTAGTTTCAGTTGTCTGCATCTGTAAATTAACTTGGAGATTTCAAGGGCAAATGTGATAGTGACATGCATTTTATTTGGAAATGGTGTGTCAATCAGATAGTTTTGCAGGGTAGCATGTCTGGCTTCAGTTTCATATGATTTTCAGAGAGACCTTTTAGCTTCACTGAATCTGTTTTCTTAGAGTTCTTTGTGAGTTTCAATTTGATCCATTCTTGAGTATTTTTTGTCATTAGGGTATTCTTAATAAACTGTTGGTTTATTCTGTACATCTAGCTAGTGAATAACAAGCTTTGTGGTGATATCCTACTTTTCAAAACATTTTGTACTTACCGTTTGTTAGTAACAAATTCCTGGGGGTTTTGGTGTTTTTTTGTTGTTCTCCATGAAAACAAATGTCTTTTTAGAGAATACGATTAATAATATTTTTGCAAGGAAGTGTATGAAGCCATAGGTTTAAGTAATGGGAGATCTCTAGAAAGCCAAACTGTGTTTAGGTTTTTCTTTCTCTGTCTTCTCTCTCCTGCTACCTCTCTTTCCCCTTCCCCAATTCTGTCCCTGCCTAGGAATACTTTTGGTGGCTATTGGTATTTTCAGTGGTATTTTGGTGGTGCTATCTTTGTTGGTTCAGGTGGCGCTTACTGTGCGTCTCACAATGTGAATACCTTGTTCCTAAGGTTTGATAATGTAAGAATCTCAAATTTATTATTTTTTTTTTTTTAAGTAGCAAGTTCCAAGCCCTTACTTTTTTTGAGAGAAGCATAGAAATTTAGTACATTTTTTTCTCATTAAATTTCCTTTTTCCACTTGATCTGGTACTTGAAGGGACACCTTCCACTGATTACAAACATAACATTCATTCTGGGTGAAGGTTCATTGTTTAACTATAAGCTATGTGGTGTAATGACAGGCTGCGACTACTCAATTGTTACTGTTGTTTAGTCAGGTAGGAATAACTAGAGGAAAAGAGATAAAAGGTGAAGGTGTGTGGGAATACATAAATAAATATATAATCAGAGATTTCTAGAAAACTAAGTAATGCCATGAAGTTAAAGAAGTTACAAATAAAGATTTTACTGAAATGAGATAAAGAAGGGCAAGCAGATGATGTACTCCAAGACAGCTGATTGCCATTTCTTGGACTTCTACCAAGTGTTAATTATGGTAGTTATAAAAATTACTGTGATTACATGTATTCCTCTACGTGCAGTGCTGGAAGTCTTAAGCAAAAATAAGTTTTACAAGTTTTGGAGAATGTGATTAAAAGAAAGATTGTTTTTTGTATCCGTCTAGGAATATCAGTCTGAAGCAATTTTTGAAGGTGTCTTGGTCTCCAGTGGAGGGGAGAACTTACAGTCTAGCATCCTTCAGTCAAGCAGATAATTTTGGGAAGTACCAATGGAAAGCAACTTTGTGCATTAAAAACGTGATTCAGTGCTAATTTCCTTTTACTTGTCAGTTGTTTGTGAGCAGCTGTGTTTCTCATTTATCATTCTGTCACTTCTTGTGATGGGTGTAATGGGTGACTTATTGGATAGGCTGATAACCAGGAAGGTCACTTCAAGAAGTAGTATCTGCTCTTTTCTCTGTCTCCCTCCTTCCTTCCCCTTCCTTGACCCCAGTGAAATGTGGGGAATGACATGATTTGCATTTGCAGCTTTTTTCTTATTAGGGTGAGATGGATGTATTTGTTCTATTATGGGTTAGAATAGAAGTACAAGAAATAGAGCAGTTCCATCTTTTTTCTTTTAACTGGAGCAGGTCATGATATATGCAAGCGAAGAATTGAAACAAACTCTCTGGTTTAAGTGTGTGAAAAGGGATGAACAGTTATTTTTCTGCAGTGCTCAGTGCATTTCTCATGATATTTCTCAGGCTTGTATATATATTCTAGATGAAGACACAGGAGTATATCACATTATCACATGCTTAATACCTCTTCACACTGATAGCTGCTTTTTGACACCTTGGAGCATAATTTTTTTTTTTTTTCTGAGTTTTTTGTTCCTCCTGCCTTTGTCTCCTGAGGCAAGTAACACTTGTACCACTTAAGCAGGCAGGAAGTTTCCCTCTGGGCAGGAGTGCTGGTAGGGAGCAACAGGTCTGCAGTAACTGTTTCTGTCAGCTTTCAAACTGTTTCCATCTTCTGGAAGTGCAGTATGTGCACCAGAGAGTTCAGCCCTGCTTCTAGAAGTTGGAAGATGGTTTATTTAAGGAATGGTTTTTCGTTAAGACCAAGTGAAAACAGGAATGATATTATAGAGTAAATTAAAGGAGAGGAAAAAACATGTTCACAGTAATTTCAAACATGAATCATTCTTAATTCTTTTTACAGAACCATATAATTCGAAAGGTCTGTTTTAACTTCCTACTTACAAAGATTGTAAATACATTTATTATCATACAGAATTCTGCTTAGCTTGGTGGCTCTTTGTAGAAGTTGTCGATTTCCACATTTGTCTATGCTACCAGAATATTTTATCTGTTATGAGATTACATCTAGAATTTAAGTCTTCTGATAAAGACATACCAGCCAAACCCTGTATTAATTTTCTCTGAGATACTTTAGTGTTCTTTTCAACATAGCATTTGATTGCTTCAGACTTTTAAATTACTTTCACAATATCCTTGTGAGACAGTAGGTGATACATTTTCCTGTTTGGAGCTGTAACTGAGAGATGCAGAGGCCATCACAGTGAAATGCTCTTTACAGATGATTACCCAACTCCAAAAATGGAGGAATGACTAGTTCTGGTGACCCGATAGTACTGTAATCTTATTCAGTTGCTGTAGCATACAAAGTTAGGGTACTTTCATTACCTTTGGTCTATTTAAACTTCCATGACATTTCTGTTTAAAGTACAAATTTAACAGATTTATTTCAGTAGCAACTGGGAATGTTCAGCCTATCTTACTGCACTGTTCTGTATGTTTGTCATTGAGCACTGAGAGAACAAAGGACATACAGTTAGTGAATACGTGTTAAAAATTCAGTTTGCCTTGTTGAAAGGACATCTGTTGCATCACACAGAGCTTCTCAAGAAATTACACTCAACTACTGTATTGTCATTTAGCTTCTTTCCCTGTGTCTGTAGTAAACACCTGACTCTCATTTTGGGATCCCTAATGCAAGACCTTAAAAGGTGAATTCCTCAAACTTCATTTCTCCTGCTTCCTGCCAATTGTTCATGCTCATAATTTTGAAAAATAAAATCCGGTGTAACCTCAGAATGGATATAAAAATTTCAAGCTTTGGGAGGTAATTTGTAATGAATAGCAGGGCATTTAGCACCACTGCTACAGTTCCCATTAAATGTCAAATGAGGTGGCTAATGCACAGATCCTTGCTGCCCTCAGGAGGAGTATCACTTCACACGAACAAAAATCTTCCCCTTCGCTCAAGCACATGGCATACTTCTGTACAAGCTGGTTTAATTTTTCTTTTAGTGGTGTTTTTTGGGTCTTGACTTCTTTTTAATTTGATGTTGAAGATCTTGAAAGTTGGTGCCTGGCAGTAATTATTAGTTGTGAAAGGGAGAAGGTGGCTTAAGTTAAATGTTTATCAGCACGGTTTGTTATAGCCTGCTTAATTGTTATCTGTTGTGACAGTTCCATTTGTCTTTACAGGAAGCCCATGATGGACTTGCTTATCTTTCTCTGTGCACAGTATCATTTAAATCCATCAAGCTATACTATAGAGTTGGTATCTGCAGAAAATAGCCAGGTTAAATTCAAGCCAAACACACCAGTGGGAGTGCTTGAGGTGGAGAAGGTGATTTTAAAACCAAAACAAATGGATAAGAAGAAACCTGCTCCTGTTATACCAGAGGTGAGAACTAAGATTAAAGCATACTGATAAAGTAGAATCACTCTTGTATTCAACAAGTTGAGCTGGTAGCTCAGCCTCTCGTTTCAGCTTTTCCTACTGTTTCTTATCCTCTCACTGTGCACCCATGTGAAATGCTTGGTTCCATGTTCTTGATAATGTCCTCTTAGATAAAATATATGCCAATTTGTTGCAGCAACCATCTTTGCTGCTGGAAGAAGGAAACATTACAATGTATTTGTAATCCCACACCTTACTGTCCTTTTGACAAATTTTACCAATGAAGTGTGATTGAATACAGCCTTCCGCAAACTGAAAATCTACGACTTGTGCCATCTGTCATGCTGTGATATATGTGGTCTTCTGATTGTATGTTCATTTTCCTTTAATACATACTGTACTTTTTTGTTGTTACTTGGCTTTTATTATATACCCTTAAGAAGTCAGGAGCCTTTAGAAGTACTAAAGCAACTTCTGGGTGTTGGCATAAATCTTTCGTTCTGCTTTTGTCCTCCTGCTGTATAGAAGAATACTGGTTTTTAATTTATCTAAAGCACTTGCACAAGGCCAGAGAAGCGCTTCTGCCCTTTTACCTTCACCCTATGTGTGTGTGCACACATGTGCATGGACACACTTGTGGCTCATGGGCTGACTTCTACAGCTGCCTAATGGAACCTAGTAGGGCATCTTGCTCCTGGCATGTCCTCTGCTGGACAAGCATGTGGCAGATGCTAAAGGAGGAGCAGACTATCATGTTTCCTTTCCTTCTGTAGAAGGGAATCTCAAAGTAGTTCTTAGTTTCTCGTATAGTGTTTCTGAATCTGTACCATTGATGAAGCTGGCCATAAACGGAATCCCTGTCATTACTGTAAGGCTGTTATAAAAATGCCATTTGTTCCAGAATTTGTGCTAGTATTTATTAGAATTTTCTTCTCTTTAGCAAACAGTCAGGGTAGTGATAAACTACAGGAAGACACAGAAGACGGTAGTAAGAGTTAGTCCACATTCACCCCTTCAAGACCTCATACCAATTATCTGTAGTAAATGTGAGTTTGATCCTTCACACACTCTGCTATTGAAGAATTACCAGTCTCAAGAACCCCTTGATGCGACAAAATCTCTTAATGACCTTGGACTAAGAGAATTATATGCCATGGATGTCAGTCGAGGTAAGGTAACTTCTGTAAATTGCAGTTATAGAAAAGATAATTACTTAGTATTTCAATAATATACATGTTTTGTTGTTTTTTTGTTTGTTTGTATGGTTTTTTTTTGTGTGTGTGTTTTTGGTTTTTTTTTTTTGTTTACTTGCAAGGAAATTAATTTCTAGCAATTTAGTATATATCTCATTAGTGTTCCACAGAATTGAAACTGGAGCAAGTTTACCTGAACTTATGTTTGGAAAATGCTATGTAAAGGTTTCATTTTCTAGCAAAGATGGCTAAGCACAAATCATCACTTAAAAGTGATCCATTTCTTTCCTTCCCCCACTCCCTGTACACCACTGTATTTCCTTTAGAAAGACCAACACCACTGTATTTCCTTTAGCTCATAGAAAAGACATAAGGTTATGATGAGCTGAAAACAGAAACATTATAGAAATTCAGTTTTGTTTTAAAATTTAAGATGTATTAGAGTATTCTAATAGTGTTTATATATATTTCTGAGCACTGTTATGTAATTTTATATATTATGAAGGAATAATAATTCTTTTTTTAATTGTGGTCCAACAGGGACACAGCAAACTAACTTCCTTATATTTGTATGGACATTCCTATGCCTAGTTTTAACATTAGCTGTAAGCCTGTTTTTTTTTTTTTTTCATTAAATGTTTGCTGTAATGTGATTAAAACTTCCATACGGTGTGGCTTTTTCTGTTTCAGACATTTCTCACAGGAAATTTTATCTCAATATAGAATGTGGTAATAGTGGCTCACTCCTATTCTTGGCCACTGTTTGGTTTGCTTGGTTTTTTTTTCTGCTCTAAAACTTGGTGTTGTCTTTTGTTTGTCTTTACCCCCTTCTGGCTAAATACGGTAACCTTATTGTTTGGTTGTTCCAGTTTTGAGAGTTCTCTCAATTATTTCCCAAAGGCTGGTTATCATGAAAAGGAGAATAACAGATTTAGAAAACATGTTCTTTTCCCATGGAGAAAACAAAAATGAAATATCTTTTGCTTCTCCATTGGAAAACAACATATTTAACTTGACTAAACATGAGGCTTGGAGTATATGTGCACATAGTGCATTGTCTTGTTTGTTGTCTGGCTACTGCTTTTGTCTACAGACTGGCAGAGCTGCCTTCTGCACAGTATGACATGCGCTTCATTTGAATCAACAGCCAAAAATCCTTAGGAGAAAGTACGAGGGCATGTACGCTTTCTGCATGACACTGCACTGCTAGGAAAGTTAGATATGCTTTGGTTCTCTTGATACGAAGTAGTTCAGCATTTTAAGTTTTCAGACAGCTTCAAAGCTCTGAATTTTCAGCTTTCTTTAGGAAAGTAAATGGTGAACTGTACCTTTTACTTAATAGAATTTAAGTTCTATTTTATCCAGATTATATTTTAATTTTACAGTCTTTGTTTTCTGCTTAACAATCCAAAACTTACAGAGTGAACTATTCTATATACTGATTTTCCTCCTTCCTTCAGAAATATAACTGAAAACTCTTGCCTAATTTAAAAGATTCCAGCTGTGTTGCCTGTCTTCAGGCTCAAGTTCTTAAATGGCTTGCAGCATTAGGTAATAAAGGTGTGCATCCTTTTACTTCATGCAAGTACCCAATTACTTTTTCCTAGTGCTGAAGATTCAGCTTGGCTTTCTGTGTTTGTAACAAGTAACTGCATCCTTGATTTGGATTCACATTTTCTGTCTTGTCTTTTTGTCTTTCTGTAGCCACATCACCAGTTGATTTAAATTTACCATCTTTGCAAGGTATGATTTACTGACATGGGCAGTGAAACTGTAGCACTTGAATGATGACCCACCATCCGCTTATACTGTAACATCGGCTTCACTGTGACATGACTAATTATCTCTATGCCATCATAAATGCACATTTAAAAAAAATAACACAAAAGTGGATATACCCAGCTACACATAAAGTATTTCTATGCAGTTTTCCCTTAGATCAAGTTATTAAATTTACAGTTATGTTTATATTGATACTTGGACCAAAAGCCCATAGTGGCCTTGCTGAATTGTGGCGTTTGCATTCAATGGGATTTCTTTATTAAACTTAAATCTAGTAAAAATTAAAAAGAGACAATGTTTAGATTTACAAATTGTCTGTATAAATTAAACAATGTAAGGAGGATAAATTCTGCAAGCTACTAGAATGGACTTGACTATCTTTACTACAACTGCGGTGTAGTTACATGTGCAGTACCTGTCAGGTATTTCAGTGACCTTTCTCCATAGGCATAACACATACAGGCTTGTGCCTGACTTATCCCACTTCACACTTTGCCATGAATTTAATCTGTTAGGAGTGCAGAGCTGGAGAGGCTGATGCTCTTTTTCCCTTTTACAGCCTTTGTGTGATGTGAACCATAACATATGACAAGTGGGATGGGCTGGATTAAGTGCTAGGGGTATTAATAGCAGCTGAAACGCCTCTATTTTGAGGCCTAAGAAAGACAGGAAGACCATGGATGGTAGGAAACCTGTTCATTTTTCAGCGTTTAGAGAAATTATTAATATAGGTGATTTATGATGTGTTTTGTATATTTTTCCAGGAGGCTTATGGCAGACAGTGAAATAGTAAGAATGAAAGAGAAATAATCTGTGCAATAAATAACATCTAGAACTATTGTTTTCTGTTTTAGACTCCTATCAGTCTGAAAACTTGGATGTTTTGAAGGAGAAGGAAAACAAAGGATTTTTCAGTTTTTTTCAACGAAGCAAGAAGAAAAGAGAACAAGTAAGGTGTAACTTTGTATAAACAAAACTTCTAGAAACATATTCATATTGAGCAATCAGTGCTGTTGATTGTTTCCCAGAAAGTATAAGTAACTTGGATTTTTTTTCTTCCCACCACACCCCAAGGTTGCCAGTGCCCCAGCAACTCCACTGATGAGCAAGCCAAGGCCAACATTTATCACAAGATCTAACACTGTTAGCAAGCAGTATGATTCAAACACTCTGCCATCTGAAATGCCAAAGAAACGGAGAGCTCCTTTGCCACCTATGCCAAACTCTCAGAGTGCTCCCCAGGAACTTGCACAAGCCCAGGTCAGACCAGCATCTGGTGTTGTGAAATCTCACAGCTTTGACAGGAGTCTGCAGGTTAGTCATATTTGCTTCACTTCTTCAGAAGTTTAGACATAATAATCCTGGTAATCCTGTTAAAATCTGCTGAGGCTCGAAAGAAATGGGAAATGAAAGTGTACTACTTGCTTTTAAAAATTTTAGTATGAAAATAACTACAGAAATTGAAAGATGTGTTCCTTTCAAACTTTGTATCTTGAATCTGAAGCAGCTGCTGTATTTTGAATAGGTAAACCCAACTGTTTATATAGGTTGGTATTGTGAGCCCCTTTTTCTTCTTTTGGGTCAATAGTTTATATACTTAAATGCGAGAACATTCACACTTTATCATATCTAGTAAATGAAATTTTCATTTTACGAGTTATTTTTGATGTTTCAGTTACATGTGATATCAAGTAGGTTTTTTTTACATTGCTAAAAAAAGGGTGGAAATCTTGGGGAGTAGTCTAACTTCCTGGGAACACAAGAATGTTAAAAGTAGGGTTTTTGTTTTAGTCAAATAGGGAGATATTTAATTTAGGCTATGAGATGTGGGCTACATATTTAAGTAACCTATATACCCTGTGCAATGCAGAAATTCTGCCAGCAGAACTTGGGAGAATTGATGCATTAAGTATTATTCTGATATTGCATATAGTGAATTCCAATTAAAGATCAAATTGTCATTGTAATTTTTTTTTTTATTTCATACTTTGCTTTGAATGCAGTATCTAAAGATGGTCTCTAATAGATGAGGTTATTGGCATGACAGCAAAATAAAATGCAGGACTAAATGAAATACAAGTTAGAGGGATTACATTTGTGTTGGACTCGGAGACAAAAAATTTCAGTCTATGACTTGCTTTATCTTTGTGCAATGATTTACTCTTCCATTGATGCACAGAACCACAAGAGAGCACTGTTTAACAGAAATTCTGAATTTGTGTATTGTGTCCTGCTGAAAAGCTGTATCATGTGAAGGAAGACAAAGGTTTCTTTCTGTATTTTAATAAAGGAAACCTTGGGGGGGAAAAAATCACAGTCTTTTTTTACCTCATCATGTTTGTCTTTTAATTGAATTCTTTTTTTTTTTGAAAATAATTTATTAATGTCAGCAAGCTTTAAATAATTAATATCCTATTCTGTCTAACAGAAATATATGACTGCTGGGCTAGGATCTATCACTCAACAAAATTGCTTAGGTTTATTATTTTATACTGACATTTCTTTTTCATCTAAAGTGATTTGTCTGAAGTTGAATAGTTCACAAATGAAAGACAGAAGTCCAGTTGGGATTGTTTAGCCTGGGGAAGAGAAGGCTCTGAGGAGAACTTGCAGTGGCCTTCTGGTACTTAGAGGGCCTAGAGTAAAGATGAGGAGGGACTCTCTGTCAGGGAGTGTAATGATAAGACGAGGGGCAATGGTTTTAAACTTAAAGAGGGTAGATGTAGACTAGATAGATGTAAAGCAACAGCCCTTCACCATGATGGTGGTGAGGCACTGGAACGGGCAACCCAGAGAAGTTGTGGATGCCCCTTCCCTGAAAGTGTTCAAGGTCAGGTGGGATGGAGGTTTGAGCTACCTGGTCTAGTGGAAGGTGTCACTGGTCATGGAAGGGGGGTTGGAACTCTAGGTGATCTTTAAAGTCCTTTCCAACCTAAACCACTCTATGATTTTACGATTCTATATTGCTCAACTTGATCAGGGAACTCTTATGAGGGATCCTATGGGAGACTTCCTTGGAGGATAAAGCTGATCCTTAGAACAATGCTGAGATATTTACAGTCTTTCACTTAACTGTAAAATAAAGGAGAGTCCCCTTAAAAAGATAAGGTGTTAGGTGAGGGACAAGGTAAAATAATGTTTTTTAAATAAAAATGTCATTACAAGATTTGCAACTTTACACATGAAATTGAGTACTATTTAAATACATAAGCAGTCTTAATTCCAATAACTTAGATCCTAAATATGGAATTTGAAGAGAAACATATAAGCATTGTGGAATAAAGTCAGTTTTGATGGTTGCATAGAATTTTTTCATCTGCGTCATGTTCATTAATTCTTTCTGAACCCAAAATGACTAAATTATACTCATTTAATCAAAGTCAGTTCTCAGTAATGAGGCAGGTACAATGGTTGTACACTGTTAGTTCATTACAAACAATATAAGAATTTGGTCTCTCATGTTGCCCAATGTTGAAAATGTGTGTCCTGCTGGTAGTATTGAAAGTCTTTTTTTGGGTTGTACACTAGGCTGAGTGGTGCATTTGCTGGGCTGTTTAGTATTTGTGAGAGTTCTGGTATTGTAGTGTCCCATGAAATTAATTTACAACATTTAGGATATATTTTTTTTTTCCCCTTAGCTGTTGTTTTTATCTGTTTTTGCCTTACATGTAGCACTTTCTTGCAAGTCATACTGCTTTTAAGAATGCCTAAATTTTGAAGCCTGCCCTTCAGTTTATTTAGCAGACTGGAAGCATACTTTATTTTTTCTGTGGACCAGGATGACCTTCTGCATGTGCCTTGATACAAAAGAGATTTGTCCATAATATCTGCAAGGAATACCAAGTGAAATGTCAGTTTTGCCTGGATAAACTGTTTGCCTGGTTTTGAGAGAAAAACGGCAAAGCAGTAACATCAAACACCAGTGAAATGAGCCAGCTTTCAGGAAACAGAGTTCTCACTGTTGTCTTTCTTCTGATTCACAGTGTATTGTAGCCCAGTTTCTCACAGTACTAAAAAAGTTTTTAATGTTTACCTCCTACAGCTTCTCCACTTCTCTTCCCTTAAAAAAGAATCTGCTTTCTCTTTATATGAACAACTACATTTTGGTATGAGGGTTGGAATTTTTTCTAGCTCAATTTCAGAGCAATTATAGAATTAGTTTTTGGAAATATGTTCCTATTTTTAGGGCAGAAATTGGTATAATGGATGTAGGGGTAGCTTTTCCAAGTTGCTATGTAGCATGATTTGCTCATTCTGTATGAGACTTGGAAGATGATGAGTAAGCTTAAATAGTTGATGTTTGTCCAGCAAATTTCTATGTTAAATCAGAGTGGAAGCAAGCATGATAGTCTCTAATATGGAAATCCCTTACTTATTGGTCAGTTCTAATTTTGGGAAAGATGGCTCTTGCCAGAAGTATGTTTAGAACTAGCAAGTTTAAATACACTTGCAAGTAGAGAGGACTCTCAAGGGTTTTTGCAAAGTGCTATTGTATAATGCAGTACATGTATCTTCACAGTTTTCATAAAAGGGGGTGCAATTTTCTAGTAATAATTTTTTCTACAGAAAATTTAGTTTAAAAGAAAAGTACTTGATTATGTCCAAGCTTAAGTCGTGTAATAGATATTGAATGCATTGATTACTGTAAGAGTAAATAAATTTTTTTCTCCTGTTACTCCTTGGACGTATATTTGCCCGCATACTTGTGCAAAGGGAAGAAAGATATGCTAGTGCAATGTACTTAGATATCCCAGAGGTCTGTGTATCTTCAGTTAAACAGTGATCTGTGGAGCAAGAGGCAGGTACTGGTGGTATGAAAATGTATAAATAGTGACCCTTGGTGTGAGGTATGCTTTCCAGCACACTGAAATGCTTTTCTAGCACTACCTTCTTTCACAAATGCTTTTTTTTTTTTTTTTAATGTCTTGCATTCCAGCTGCAAAATTACCTTGGCTTGATTACCTCTCCTTGGCTTTTTGGAATGATGAGAAGGGCCAGGCATCATGTCTGCCACTGCTTACAGAGGCTGGAATTTGGGAATACTTGGCCTCTACAAGTATCTGCTTGGCGTGGTGTGGGATTTGGTGCCAAATTTGTCTGTATACATTTGAGGCTAAAAAGCTTCATATCCACACTTGTTTGTTCTGGGACGGAGATGGTGTACAATGTTAAAAGTGGAATTCCTGGATGTGTTGTGGAAGTTATGACAGAGATCACTGGTGTTTTTGCACTTCAGTGACTTTAACATGTATTTAAAGTGTAACTGATAAAGCACTGGCATTGGCAGTTGGTATGACACATGAACACCCAGATGTATATTCCAAAACTTTGTCACATATGTCTTATTGACATTATTTTAATTTTTTCCATCTGTTTCAAGTACTGTTTTCACATTACAACCTTTGTTAGGATTTGAAAGCTCTTAATATTCATATGTTGAATAATTCCTGAGAAAATCTGTTCAACACTTGAACCTTAACTGGAACATTTAGTACTTTCTCAAAATCTCTCTTTGTAAATTGTTTATTTGGATGCAAAGGACAGCAGAAAGGCTTATAAAAATCTTCTAGTAGTATTTGTACTCTTACGCTGAGAACTTTATTCCCCCCTACACACATACTCTTTTAGTGCAGGAGGGAGCTCTGGTGACATCTGTTCAGCTGAGCGAGTGTGTGCCAGCTCAGTCAGCTAAGGGAGCCTGTGCGAGGCAGATGAGGCTGCAGATGAGACCTCGAAACAGAGAAACAGTGTCTTTGTGCAGAATGGAGGGGCTTGCAGACTGGAGAGCAGCTACCACAGAGGAGAAAAACAGAACTGCCCAACAGGAAGGAGCAAAAATGATTTAACAATAAAAAAGCCTCATTTGGGGAGATAGTATTATACTTGACATCCCCTTCTGCATAAATTCAGATGCTGAATGTTATTAATTTTCTTTTAAGAACTGTTTGGGAACTGTGATTAAGAAACTACAGAAGTGTAAAGTGATTTTTGTTGTGTGATGTTTTAATCTAGAAACTGACGTGTTTAAAAGCTAATCAAGCATACAGTTATTTTTAATTAAGAGTGGGGTGGTATGTCCATGTCCTCTGCTGTTCTTAAAAACACATTTCAACTTGTGCTTCGTTTTTTCTCCTTAAAACCCTAAGTCCTGATTAGCTGTAAAAAATTTTTGTTTCTTGCTTTGGCATTAAAGTGATTGGTAAAAGAATATACTTCTTCTAGAAGTTCTTATTAGAAAACACTATTTTGGACAGTGTTGCTTCTTACAGTGAAGTAAGGGATGTGACATACCTGACATCGAGGTGGAACAAAACAGATGATAGAGTATGCCCAGGGTAGCTCAAAGGATGGTTCGTACCATCCCAGTTCATTCATTCAGGTATTCTGTTGAAATTGAACAGGAGCTGCCAAACAGTGCTTCACATGCAGCTTGTGCCAGTATCTTTTCTGTTGTGAGTAGTTTTCTGTACAGTTTTGACTGTGTACAACCAAATACTCTAGCTTTTGGTCTTTATTATCCTCCTTGCTCTAGAATGTGTATTTGTTCAGTGGTAGCTTTCTAAATTATAAGCAGGGGATATCTGTGTTCCATAGATATTGGCAAGGTCAAAAGTTCTGTTGTCAGTGATGTTTCTGAAAGGATTGTTACTCAAACAAAAATTTACTGGTGTATCTATGCCATCTCTGTTCCTCAGTGTTCTGCTTTGTGAAGTGGGCTGGTTAATTGAAGCACAGAGAAGTTCCCTGAAGATGACCAAACATCCAGTTGCTGTGTGGTTCCTTCTGGCTAGAAATAAATGTCACTGCTCTATTTTATTATGTTGTTGAGCACACCAGTGATAGGGATCAGAATTATTACAGAAACAGGCAGCTTAGTCTAATGCTAAAATACACTGTTTTACTGCTGGGATCCTGAACGTTATCATTCTAACAGATGTGGAAATAAAAGGTTTCTTCAGCATCAGGCAAACTGCAGTTAAGAATAGTAGGCAAATTTTCAACTGCTATATTTTTGAGACACAGAATGTATTTTTAAAATTATTTAAAATGCAATAGGACTGCTGTGTCATGAAACTATGAACTCTTCAGCAGGTAGCCTTTGTCCCTTTTTTAATGGTTTTGATTATTTGTGAATTAAGAATTTTTTCTCTTTTGCTACAATAACGAGGATATTATTACACTTTAATATCAGTAGGTATTACAATTATTGTTTTTATAACTTCTTCCAATTTCACTTCAGTGAGTATTACAATTATAAGACACTGTGCTTGCCAAGATAAGCTTTGAATGCTGGCATTCAAAAAATTTCTACAGAAGTTCAAATATTTCATGTAGGAAAAACTTGTAATAGTTCTATATACAGCCTAGGTAGGACTGCTGTTGAAGGACAAGGAAACTTTGAGTTATATCATTGCAGTGGGATGTGGTTGAAGCTTCTTTCCAGAATGATTTTTAGCTACTTTTAGAAAAGAATTATTTGAGGGTTGTAGATCAACCTTGGGGCATAAAAGAACTTTTTTTTTTTTTTTTGGTGCTAAATGTAACTGATTTTCTTTTACTGCAGTATTTTGTACCTCTATGAATATATTCAATTACTCTAGAAAATAGTTTGGTGGGATTTTTTGGGGGGAGTGGGGTGGCAGGGTAGTGGTGTTTTGTTTTTGGGAAATCTGCTCCTCAGAAGAATTAATATGAGAAAGACGGTATGTTTGGTAGTAGGTATATATTCTCTTTCCCAGATGTATTCTATAAATTCTTTTGAGGAATAATTATTAGAGCTATTTTGCTGGTTTTCTTTGATGGCTAATAACTTTCTTCCTCCCCTGTCCCCCTTCCTAGGCCCCTGCAGGATTAGTACGGAAAGGTTCTCTGCCGCTCAGTGACGCCGCCTCTGTGAACTCCTCCCTGCGGAGGATGAAGCGCAAAGCACCCTCACCACCCTCCAGAGCACCAGGAGATCAAAGGGAAAGCAGTAATGAGACTGGTAATCTTTTTATGCTCTTTAATTGGGAGGCAACAGGAAATATGGCAATTTGGCTAAACATTAAATACCACTTCATGAGATAAGAACCTCAAGTAACAGTGCTAGACATCTTCAGATTGTGAGAAGTGGTGATATTACTTTATGAGGTTGCATCTTGTAGTGTGTATGAGCTGGCACAGGCAGGACGCAGGAGCAACCACAGAGCCATGGATGAAATGCAGAGTAAATTTACTTTTGTTTCCTTGCCAGCCAGGGGATCCCTGCAGCAGCATGAGGGCAGGAGCACGCAAGCAGGGATACAGGCTTGGTCCATGCTAGAGGATCACTGAAACTGATGTTTTTGCTGGTATATCAGGGTTTCATGCAGGCATTGATCTTTCCCACAGCGGGGCAAGCATGTTTGATAGGATGCCTCCAAGTCTTTCACAGGCCTGTGTGATCTAAGCACAGATGTTCTACTCGTCTAACACATAACACTAAACAATGATTAGAAGGATATAGTTTTTTTTTTTTACACCGCAGCTGCAAGTCACCTGAGCATGTTTACAATCCTCTTACCACTCTTCCGTTAGTTTCCCACAATTGTGACAAAGCAGTCAGGCTTTAGGGCACTCAGATCAGAAAATACCAAATTAATTATAGTCAGGTTAACTGTAGCTATTGTGTTTGTGCTGATCAGATGGACAGCTTGGGGTGAGGAGAAATTATTAGCCTCCCTAGATGAGAGAGTGTTTCACAGGAAACTGAATGAGTGGAATAATTTTAGAAAAAGTTTCGTATTGTTCTTGTGTAATTCTTCTGTTTGATCAAAAATTGTTCTCTGGTTCAAAAGTACCTAAGAGTTAAGATTAAAATAATCTGAGAAATATGACAGTGAGCACCAACTGCTGAAGAGAAGGTGCATTTCTTGAACTTGCCAGTCTGTAAAATCACAATTTAACACTTTATCTGGAACTTTTGTTGGAGCAGAAATTGAGAGGCAATGATAAGCTTGCTATTTGCCTTTTTTGCAGTAACAGAGTCAACAGAATCAATGCCTACTAAAGTGGAAGAACAACTCACTGAAATGCAGTCCGAAACAGGTTGGTTCTTTTTCCAGATCCATTGATAAAATCTACTGCATAGCAAGCTAGGATTATTCATTGTTAATAATTGCGGTGCTATAGATGTGTCATAAGTATACAACTAATTTTAATGTTCTCAATTAACTTTTCCTTTGAAGTACAAATAAGGCTTTCTAAAAGAAAGATGTTTTACTGTCTACAGAAGCACATATAATATATTTTGTAATGGTCTCTGTACTTTACACTTAATAAACTAAACATTACCCCTGTTTTCCCCTCTTCCCCAACAAGTTGTAGACGAGAACAAGTCAGAATTCCTATTTTTTTTTTTTTTTTTTTTTGTGAACACCTTTTAACAAGCCTTTCAAAAGCTAAAGCCTAGTCTTGTTTTCAGAAGCCCATCTTGTGCTGCCCTAGACCTGCATAGCCTAGGGGTAGGAGCAAATTTCTGCCTGCCTTTTGGTTTGCATCTGAACAGCCTTTGAAAAGAAGTTGTAAATATAAATAGTATGTATAAATAGTCATTTATGCATTAAATAAAATAATTTATTTGGAGTGTTGCGTGAAAGGAAAGGGGTAGGTGTGGGTA